GCCCACTTTGCTAGGTACTAGCTCAATTGAGTCTCATTCCTTCGCTTACCGGTTAACTTTCATGAACCTTAAAATTATCAATCATTATCAACAACTATCAAGCACCTAGCTTCATTGTGTTGATAAAAACTGCCAAAGATTGCCATAAACGGTACTAATAACTATAAACTTGTATCAATCTTAATGACTACTGACATGTCTTTTGCTTATGGTCTTGGTCATCAGTATAGATTTTTTTCTACAAAGAAATCCTACCCGGAATAACCGTATAAATCCGTGTCCTGGGTTGTTACTGCGGCTCCCTAGGGACGCAGTACCCCCGTCGCTGTTTTCCACTATGGTTTGACTTCCTTTCGGCAGTTTTTATGTAACACTTTGGCTTTCTCGTCATTTTTTGGATCGTGAACTAAGGTCACTACATTGAATGTGCGGTTAAAATCGAGAGTTCACAGAGTTCTTGACAAATGTGATGATTTCACGCAACAGCCGCCCTATTATCCCCAGCGACTTAATTTTGACCCTCATGAGGAGAACACCCTGTTCTGTGGCTGAGTAGGGAACCTTTCTTTCTCATTCCCATTCCTCCTATAATATTTTTTTTTCATTTAAAACCGCATTTTGGGCTGTGTCCTTATCGTACTTCAGTGAGAGGACTTTAACGAGCATTTTTCAGAGGCCTCGCTCTCAAGGAGATTGTTCCTCCTCTCAGTTCCCGCATATTTGTGGGTTTTGCTGTTCAGTAACAATTTGAAATATTCGTTGAGAACATGTCGTAGTCACAAGCAGCACTTATGGGTCGCCGTCATCGTCGTTCGAAGGTCACTCGAGTAGTGAATCTCGTCAAAAAGATCATCGCTTTCTTCTTCTCCCATATTGGCCTATGTGCACTTGTGAGTATTACACTTTTGCGTTCAATCGGAAATGCCGAGCATCGTTTTTAGAAATTTCGAGGGTTTTAGTTTTTTGAGCTTCCCTGTTCTCCTTACCTTGGCTAATGATAAACCTCATTAGCCCAATTGTTTCGTTTTTCAATCAGTAATTCAGTTCTTATTTAATTAAGGTAGTCGGTTACGCATTGCTGGGAGCGGTAATATTCCAAGCTGTCGAAGGCCCACACGAAGAACAGGTTTGTTGATTTTTACTAATAACTATTTTCTCTTGAGAAAAAAAGGAATGTTGTGGGATAAACCATATTTTATCACCACGAATTTGCTTTTTTTGATTTATAGCTTTCTTACTCATAATCGGGTCATCGAGTCTCATCACATTTTCCTTGTTGAACTATTTGCTATATTGTTGTTCCATGATCCACAACCTGTTTACATCGTATCAAGTATTTCCATTTCACCTCGTTGTCCTATCATGTCCGAATAGCTCTGACGGATTACACCTAATCGCATTGATAGACTTCTATGACAATGGCGTAGGCTCGGATCGAGGCGAAAGAAGCATCCTATTTTGTTCTCTCGAATTATTTTCCCAATTCAACGAATTCTCCTGAAATCTATATTCTATGCTTTGAAGCACAGTTACGAAATTATAAATTAATGGTTTTAAGATTGGAAAGTAGAGTGTCCAAGAGAAAGGGTCTTATAGGGCCACGCTTTACTTACTATTCATTGAACATTCCTTCTCATACGTTCCTTTTTTCTTCCGTAGAAGTTAATTCTCAATAATTTTGTCGGGATGATTCCCTGAGAGAAAAGTTACAATCGCCCTGGCTTTCTTATTAACCTATCACCAAGTATGATTTTTCATCGCGATGCACCATATTGGGACGTGAATCTTGCAATGCTTGTTGTGACTTCTCTTATGACTTTTGATACAACTCGCTTTGTGTAGTGGGCTAATGGTAAACTCGAAATGGTTTGAATTGATTCTACAGTCGGCAACTATTGAAGTTCCTCTTGCTGGCTTTTGCAAGACACCGAACCCGACCGTGATAGATTCGCACTTGGCGAGCCGCAAATCTAAAAAATGCCGAAGCTAGTCCACTAATTTCGCAAAACGGGCAGCGATAAAGATAGTTTTTTGGAACATCTGTCGTTTGTTTGTGCCGCAAGTGCTAAATCCTCGTTCGGACCTAATAGTACCCACGAAATTAGCTCCTCCAAGTGTAGTATTGGAAATTTAAGCTTTCATTACTCAGCTTATTCCCGGACAAAGAGCTTGTTCTCAGGACAAATTTCAAAAAAAAATGTAAAAGGGGAGTAAGCTCGAACCATACATACTTCCATCAAAACTCCAAAATCCAAAAACTGTTATCCAATTTTTCTTTCAGATTCAATCGTCCGTAACGGCAGCTCGTAGTAGAGCTGTCGATGTCGTCTGGAATGCCACATTTCGAGTCAATCGGCTCAATCAAGATCAATGGAAATCGGCCGTCTATAAGGAGGTATGTCACGTATTGAGCAGATCTTTAACAGTAATCAAGAATCAAGTGCGAGTTTAGGTGAAGAAATTTCAAAAAATCTGTATGCACGCAATACGAAAAGGTTACGATGGGAAGGAGTTCAAGCAAGCTGCTCAATGGACTTTCACAGGCGCATTCCTGTATTCGCTTACTGTCATCACCACAATAGGTTTGAGTGTTTCTTACGTCTTCAGTTCCTATTGGGATCATCAGAACTCATGGTTACTGTCTTTAATGCAACAATTTAATAGAAAAAAGTACGGGTGCTCAAAGTATGGGTAATAGTACGCCTGGTTCTTTTGAAATGTTCTGTCCCAGTTCGGCCTGTAACTTAGCAACTTCTGAACCGAGAACCCATGAAAGCCGTTCTCACCAGGGCGTCTTCAGCAACTTCATAGTAAAGTCGTAGGGAAACTTATCCTTCATCAATGACTCGTCGACATGAATACGACCGTGGTATGACATCAAACAAGCTAGAATAGCTAGTCCTTCGATCTCATAGGATTCGACCCACAGCGGTGTTTCAGACACCGCCTGCTATACCTTTGGCTGAACATTTGTATCAAGTCTATCTCCATAGCTCTTTTCTTGGCTATTTTTCCCCATTCTACTGCTTGGTCGTCTTTATCTCGCCCTACATCGTGTGTATTACTGTAGAGCAAGCCGATAACTCTAGTTGGCTTACGGGTTTCTCACAAGCACAAGAGCTTTCCCTCGGAACTAGAGCCCCACCACTAGACAATTCAGGCGCATCATGAGTGATTCTAAAAGGCTGATTAAGTCGCTTTTGTCTCCGGATTCGAATACCAACGTTATTTTCAAACTCATACTTTTCCTTTCAGGTTACGGTAACACTTCAGCCAAAACCTATATCGGTAAAACGTTGACGATGCTGTATGCCATAATAGGCATTCCACTTATGTTGCTTTTCCTGACAAATATTGGTGATGTCATGGCCAAAATATTCAGGTAACGTATTTGATAATTCCATATGAGAATTTGTGCTGATATAGAACCCCATTGCTTGAAGGGTTCGACTGCTCACCCAATTCACAGCTACTTCCGTACCGAGCACAGGACTCTTGAACATAAAGTTACATCAAGGACAGGACTACAATAAACTGGTTTAAAATGAACTTTTGTGGGCAGTAGGTCTGAGGTCTAGCAGCAAATGGCGCGCTATCATCCACGCATGGTCAAAGGTTTGAACCCCGGTTCGATAACCGCCTATGCCGTACAAGCCTTCCACCCTCGGGGTCGGTTAATTGGTACCAGACCCGTCTGAGAGGCTAGAGCTAATACCGTTACATCGTCTGGTCAAGGTAATTCATTGTAGTACAATTTTGATTTGAAGCCCATAGAAGCGCAGCTGACAGAGGGAATATCAGCGCCCGAAAACTTTAGCCTTTTTACTTGTAGTCACTACTGATGACGTGATTGGGAAGGGTTGTATCAGCTCAGCATGCAATCCTTCTCGACCCCGTCCGACACCATTTGTTCGAATGTAACCGTTGACAGAACTATGTGATTGAATGAACTTCTCAGGGTTTTGGTGGAATGTGTACAGATTCTCTTGTAGATTTCTCTACGCGCAGTCAATTCGTCTGAAATTCCGACTGATACTCTGGCACAAAAAACGAAAGGTAATACGAGTATAATGTTTACAGGACACCAGAAAAATCTGCAGGAGTTTTAGGCTGCCAAAATACGACGTGCAAACTCACTTGTATCTCGACTTACCAGAGCACATCGAGTGAAAGCCGATTCCTCCATTGACTCATTTGCTGTCGGTACGAACTGCATAAAAATTCACTACTCTTTTGTTTACTATGTGCTGTCCTATCAAAATTACGTGTATTTCGTGGTGAATCAAATTGTTTTTTGTCCACTAAATACGGTAATTCTGAAAAAAGGGGGTATTGTTGATAATCTATACAATAAAGACGCTTGTTACTTTGTTCACATGACTGGCATTGTTATGGCGCCACAGTTATGGCTTACATTTCAGGTGGACCTGATGTCGAGGATTTGCTTACGGCACGGGTTGAGATGGAACAGTTGGAGGTGCGTGAAACCGCTCAGGCTCAGCTAGAGAAGATCAGCGTCCCGTTGTCGCTGGTCGTGCTCACGATGTTCGCGTATCTCGTCGCCGGTAAGTTACCTTGGAAGAGGCACATGTTGATTTGGGGCATGAAGGACGAAATTCGATTACAGGAACAATTCTATTCAAATTGTGGGAGGGCTGGACCTTCCTCGAAAGCTTCTATTTCTGTTATATATCACTCACTACAATAGGTAAATGACTTCAAATATCCGAGTACCCATTGCTAGTTTACTTGATAGTTCCGTGACGTTCAGGATTTGGTGACCGCTTCCCAGGAGCATCAGTTGGCAATAATAAGGATGCTCAAGAGAAACTTGTAATCACTTCGGTCTACCTACTATTTGGGATGGCGCTGCTTGCCATGTGCTTCAATCTCGCTCAAGAAGAAGTACAGGTGAAAACGCGATGGATCGCCGACCATTTCCGATCGAAACAGGACGATGACGATGACTGAAGTCCCCTTGGAAAGTGGCTAAGAAAACGATCGTACCCACAATGGGAAAGTGATGGACTCTCCCGGCACGGTATTTCCCAAACGGAATTTGGTAAATGTTGCTATCAACGCTATGAGGGATATTATTTTGCTATTTTGTTGACATTAAAGAAAAATATATTATAATTCCCTTATCGAGGTGTCGTTCACTACTTTGATTATTGTTTTCCTTTGTCTGAAGTCCTTATTGTATAGAATACACTATTTTATCATGTAAGTCGAGGGTCCTCCGAAAATAAACGATGGTGCGACTTCAAAATTTTTACACCACAAGCCAATAATAAAGATCTTTTTGGATCATTCCTGGATGTCTGGTCGTGATATCGATCGTGTACTGTATAATACTTATTTTATAAAATACTAGCAAGATTTTCCATCGTTCCAACATCGGCAGGATGATTGGTCTAGTTTATCAAAACAACCTCTAATTATTGCATCTAGAAAGGTGTTGACACTTTGAAAGGATTTTTACGAATTCATTGTCAACCGTTAAGGCAAAAAAAGATGTGAAAGTTCGGTTGAAAATGTTTTTGGAATTGTAAATGTAATTAATTGTCAGTACAAATGGCAGTCGCCAAAAAAACTGCCCGCTTTTTCTCAAAAAAAAAACACGAATATGTACCTGTAATATATGTATAGCAAGTAAAATACGTGAAAACCCTCAAAAAGCTAAACCATCTGACTCGAAAGCTTTTAAAAGCTTACGAGACAGACGTTCGAGAGCAAACGGTTTCCAAATATCGCAATTTCTTTGCAAACAACGCAATAGTTGTTTGGGCTGCCCCTGGACTGAGAGGGAAAACAAAAAATGATGGCCAAGGAAGTGTCAGGATGTTTTTGAATGTACAGCGATCTGGATTTTCCTCGATAGATCATTGGGAATCAGTCTACTTAGCATAGTTAGTTCATAGTTGCTCACTGCACTTCAACTTTTTTCGGAGAAAATCAAGACTGCATCTTTGTTTTACTCAACGCTGAGTCGGTGAAAATGTAGTTGGGGAGTGCCAGCGCCCATTTCTGCTCTGTGTCCCTGACACCAGTCGGCAAAGTGCATAGAGACCACGCTAGAGTGCAGAGATGAGCTCTTTCCCTAACTCAGAGAAAGGTTGAGATTCCACCCCTCTTCAGAGCTAGGGAGGAGTTCCGGGTTGGGTGAGCCATTCGGATGTTCAATTCTTACCCCATCCCCGCTTTTGGCTCGAGGTAATCATCTCACCTACCCCGGAACTCCTCCCCCAACTTCTAGAAGGGGAGAAAACCACCTCTGCGCTCTAGCGCGGTCTCTATGCACTCTGCCGCCGATGTCAGGGACGCAGAGCCACAAAAAGGCGCTGGCACCCCCGATCGCATCCAAAAATGTAGGGGGCTCTCCGGCGGGTGTCGCGTTCACACCTCTTGGCCCATTGCCAGATGTGGTATACTCTCCTCAACTGGAATTATTTTGCTAGTGGTTGCTACAAAAATGCATGAGAAAAACTTTCTTATGATCATCTCACTGTTATTGCCTAATGTTTGTTAATGGTGCTGTGAAGCTGACTTGCCTAGGAGTTTGTTCGTGTTCCTAAGCTCTTCCCTCTTACAGACACCTTCAGAATTAGAGAGTCCTCCTTGTATGGGTAAGTTAATCTATCGCTCTAGGTCTATCTCCTCTCACCCTAATGCCATAAGAGCAGCTTTTAAAATCCTCGTAGGCAACCATCAGGCAGATTCGTCCGATTGGATGAGAAATCTTTAGTTCAGGTCCATCGCTATTAGAGCTCTAGAATAGCCATGTAGAACTTGCATTACATTGGTAAATATGGGAGAACAATAGAGATATCTTATCTATGTCCAATCTGATACCATATAGATTCTGCAGGACAAGGTAAATTTAGGATAGTAGAAAGGACTTATTTATTGATTTGATAACACATCACAAGGATGTATTATTAAATAAATAACTGCGGATAACTTTGATTATTCCCAAAAACTATTGTGGGATTGGCAAAATTCCATGGATGAGGCCCATGCGATAGAGCCGTTAAAGTAAGCCTTTGAAATAAAGAAATGATATTGCAAGGTGGATCGAAGTCACGAGACATGCGTGTGGGATGACGAGAAGGATAAGTGAACGAATGGGATTGGATTCATATAGATCTTGGCCTCCATACTCACTAATTTTGTCTCACTTTTTTCAGAATTCTATCAGTTCAGTGGACCAATTACATTGATCTATTCCAGCGAACAAACACATGTTGTTTGCCCTTTGGGTTCATAAGTCCACACAAGTTTTCCGCTTTGGAATCATGACATCAGTACATGAGTTGAAGTGATAGCAATCACGACAGTCAGGTGTGAGGAAATCGCTAGATCTCTATGGGAGGGGCAAGTGGCCTTCTTATTTTCGAAGTGAAAATAGAAAAATAGAGGGTTTACAATACTTCAGTTTGTAAAAGTTTCTATGACACTCGAAAACGATGGAAGCAGAGCCAGGGGTCGTATCTCTGTTCCTACTGTGGTTCTTCAATCTTTTCGAATTAAAATCGATAAACCTACTGGACTCCTGAAAGAGCTTGTATAAAAATGAACAGTTGCAAGTGGCGTTTAATGTGCAAAAATGCAGGAACATAGCGAATATGTGGGGGTCACTGAATAGGGATGCAGATAAGTCGCAACTAGTGACGAGCTTAGGAATATAAATAAACTTCTAAGCGAGCCAGAATATTAAGCAGTAACAGTGAGGTGATCACGAGAAAGTGTTTTCCATGCATTCTTATTGCTATCAGTAGCAAAATACTTCCAGTTGAGGAGAATATACCACTTTTGGCAATGGGCCAAGAGGTACGC